ACTACATGCAACTCACAACTCCTCCAGCATCAGATACCTGCCTGGCATGATGCTAGAAGGACCAAGGTAAATACCATATAAGTGCACCTTGCCTTTGAGTTAAAATTTTAGCAGAAGAAAAAGAGATGTGGTAAAGAAGAAGAGGAGGAATAGGAGGAAGAGGAAGAAAAAAGAAAATGAAAATTCAGCTGTGACCTCAATTGTGTCCTACTGACTCCAAGAATGTTCAAGTTCAGGGCAAAGATATCCATGTAAGGAGATTCTAAGACTCAATGTAGGCTCTGGGTCCAGACCTAGTTTTTGATCCTTCCGAGGGACATAGCCATAGGTGGGCAGAGAGCACCTGTAGTGAAATTATCAGTGAGCATCACAGGCCGGAGGGCCCCAGACTAGGGATAAATGAAGAAAGTGAGCAGACATCAATCCAGGAAGGCCTGGACTACAAAGGGCCCAGAAAACCCAAGCAGCAGAGGTCAGAACAGACCATCAGATGGGTCTGTGCACGTGCACACAGTCCTGCCATTTGACTTCTTGTAGAAGTCGGAAAAAGGAACATGCTGCCTCTCCCCTCTTTACATCAGATGAGTATAAATTGCATTAAGATCTGGTCACTAATTTTCCCAAATTTGGCACCCTGGTGATTTCACCAAGTCCTCATACTGCATAGCCGTATGGAAGTGTGTGGTTTGGAACAGCCTGTGGGCCACACAGCGAAGAAAGCAGCCCTTGTGAGAGGCACGCGTCTCTGCGGTCTCACTGTGTCCAGATCTGATAATAGCTAATTCCACCCAATATTAGAGGGGGCTCACATTTAATTAAGGAGTGGCCATTTGTATGCTCCAGTCTGGAGGTCCCCACTGCCCCGGAGGCAAAGGAAGAGTCCTTCAGGGAGAATGCCAATCTTTTCTTATTTCTCTGCTGAGCTCCTGCCCTCTTTGAATGCAATTATGGGAACAAATAAAATGGCTTAACTCAACTCCCCTGTGAGACAGTCAGCTCTCTGCTGATAAAACCAGTTGTGTGGGCAATCATTAAATGAGAAATCTAATATTTAACTAAATTTAATAGTCTGTTGCTTTGGTGCTTTGCTGTGAAGGCTGAGATTTCAATAGAGAGGAAGGAGCTATTCAAATGCAGCCTTGTGTGGTAGTGAGCATTTTGGAGACAATGTGTGTTCCCATATGAAGCCAGAACAGAGTCCAGGAACTGGTAACAGGGTCTTTTGGAACAAGTGTGTGTCCTCGTGAGCTCTAGGGAAACAAAGCTAAGTAGGCAGCAAAACAATAATATTGCACCCCTGAGTTTGAAATTTGTCCTTCTTGTTCAACATCTGAGATTACAGAATGATGCCAGAAGCATCCAAACTCAGGGGCATCTATGTGGGGATCAAAACATTTTAAGAAATGGTGAGAAAGCCTGTCCTGGTCCTCATTTGTTTTGAAATTCTATGGTCCTTGCACAGGGGGGCTGGAGTGGGGGACTTATCAACAGCATCACCTCCCCAGCTGCAAGTCTCTGGCAAGCCCAAAGCAACCAAAGCTGGCCGATGCTGAGGGCCCCCGATGCTGCAAGAACTCTGCCTCTGCTCTTGCTGATTGCAGGTTTTCAGGAGTTTCCACTTCTATCATGTGACCTACAGGTTGGCAAGTAGAAAGGCAAAACAGGCAGATTTTCTGATTGAGGGTCATTGTTGATCTCAACTAGTGTAAGACTTCAAGATCATAAAAGAGAATCCCTCTGCTGCTCTCCTATAACAAGCTTGAGTTTGGGTACTACTGATGAACTACCTCATAATTCCAGCATTAATTGAACAGTCACATACAAATATCATGAGTCTTCCAAGCACCAGGAAGTTTTGACCCATTTAATAAAAGGTTTCTTTGATTTCATGAGTGTTTGCTTTATGCATACAACCGTGGTTAATAGCCAGGTCTGTTTCATCAACTCCTGACATTCAAGAGTCTGAACCTCAGAGACATCTGAGAGCTTCAGGCTTTCTGGGACCCTCAGGAGGACCTCTCTATCCTATTTAATTTCTTTGAGACCTTTCTTGGGTTATAGCAGAAGGGCCTTGTGTGAACAGAGGGAAAAACTGGAGTGGAAACACAGATGCAACTACACTCCGAAGATGCTTAGTTTCCAGACATGCTTGGGATTGCCACAAACAGATTTACCCAGGTTCCAGAAAAGGCGGTTGCATTTTGTCACTAAGTGGAATTGCACGCTGATGCACTGGGGTAATCCAGCCAAATCGGTAAATTCCTGTATTTTGTGTTAAATTGATTCTAAAAAGGTTGAAGCAGGAGTGTCACAGTGCCTCATCAAGGAGGTGATCGCTGGATACTAAGAAAGGAATTAGCAAAGAATATTCCAGACATGGTGTAGCAAAGCTCCCTGAGGCAGCAAAGAACCTGGCGAGTGTTCTTCTTTTCACTATCATGTGCTGCTCCCTCTCATCTTCCTGCCTTACAGTCTCATAAGCCAATGCCAATTAACTGATCCTATATGCTTAGAGCGTGGCATTAAAGAACTGCAGTTATTTTTTTTAATATTCGATTTGATTATGCTATATGGCCAGGACAAAGCCAGGCCAGAGTCAGGAGCTTCTTCCGGTTCTCCCATATGGTTGGAAGGTTACTGAACACTTGGACCATATTTTACCTCCTTTCTCAGGCCTGGATTGAGAAAGCTGGATTGGAGATAGAACAGCCAGTACATGCACGGGCATCCATATGGGATGCTGGTGTTAGAGGCAGCAGGTTTACCTACTGCACCACACTGTCATCCCTAGGCCTCAGGTCATTTAGAGTTAGCACAGTGAGTTTCGTTTTGATCTGTGAAGAATATGGGCCATGATGTGAAGCAGGCTATGAGCGTGTGCGCCACCCTGCGGTAGAGTGTGGGAGTTGGAGTCCGCTTGCAGTCCCCTTCAACAGCACTGCCTGCGGTCAGACAGCTGTGCACCCCTGCTGTCTACAAGGAACACTGTCTCCTGCATGCTACACAGTGCTCGCGATCTTGCCCAGTAGTGGTCTAACTAGATTTTTTAAATATTCTAACTATTTGAAAACCAGTTTTAGCCTTTCTCCTCTTATCTTTACATCAAAGTTCAGGGTTCCCGTGTATGTTGAACAGCTTGCAAGTCTGTTTTTGTTTTATTTGCTTCTCACACGCCCTAGGAACTTTCACTTCCCTCTGGTTCATAGGGATGTGCCAATCCTGCTCGAAACGATCGTTAGGACCCTGAATCATGTGGATGCTGAATGCAATGCCACTGGTGTCTGCTTTTACGAGTGATAACAACCTCCAATTTTCTGCGAGAAATGCACACCCACCTAGTAGGTTTTTTAAAAAGGGAAGTTATTATGAAAGAATGCTTCAACAGTCATTATATCATTTTATTCTATGAAACAGCTGCGAGTTATAGCAGTTTCAAGGTGATTTTGGTCAACTAAAGGTATGTTTCCTTGCAGATGAAATTTCGCTTCTTGACCAACTACCACTTGGACTCACATATACTCTGGAGTAAAGCAAGGGAATCAGATGGTTTTTGTTGCATGTCAATAAGGAATTTAGATGTAATGATTACTTCAGGAAATTAATGAAGTGGTTAATGAGGAGCTTTCTTACAGCTGGAGAATATGTATAATAAGGGCATGTATGTTACTGCAATATAAGGGATAAAACGCCCATGCATCTAAGCTACCAGCACAGAATTATGCTGGTCTCACTGCATTGTGAAATGTGGCTCTTGGGACTTCAGTGCTGATGAATGTATAATACAAATTAAGGTCACTCCAGGTCAGCTAACCTTGTGTTATACTGGACCAGCCAAAGTACCCTGGTTGCCCCCATTTCAGCCTCAAGGATTACAACTATTCCAAGAGGAACAGCTCCTTTTTAACCAAATGACAAATCAAGTGAGGCAAAGGCTGTACCCAAATTAATCAGTTTCTTTCAGTGTATACAAAAGCAGAATAAGCAAAAGGAATATGAAACAAAGAAACAAGATTAGATGGGGAAAAAACTACTCTAGCTGAGAGTGCTAATAAGGAACCACAACAGCATACATTCAACAGGCCCAAGAAAACCCACCTTCAATGGAGCGCTCAGCAGTTCCAGTTGTGGGATCCCATCATGTTATGAACAATGAAGTACAGGGCTTCTCGCTGTCAGAATCTCATGTAGCCCAAGCCTCCAAGTGGATGGTCTCTGGGAACAGAGGCACCAGGAGACTCACATGGTGTTGTTAAGGCACTCAGATTTATTACTTCAATGTCAACATTGGAGGGAACAGTCCCAACTTTCTCGTCTGCATATTGGCTCTCATTTCTCCATGTGGCTATCAGTCAACCAGTACGCAGTAACAGGACTCCACACAGTCAATCAACAGAGGCCAATGTGACTACCGGTCAGTCAGTGTGAAGCCAGAAAGGGTCTCCCTGGCTGTCAGCCCGCCTTTGGACTCAGATACAGGTTGTGTTACAAAGAAAAGCGCGAATGGACTTAGTACCATCCAAGTGCAGTCGTATTAGTTATAATTAAATACCAACTTATGGGAATCATAACACAGCAAAACACAGATGACAGCAGTGAGGATTCTGCATCCATTTCTAAAGAAATTTAATAAAGATAACACTCTCCTTCCCTTCCCTGGTATTATGACTACCAGAGTTAATGTACTCTTAGAAAGAGTAACCTCAAGATGAAATATATCAAAACCCAAGCATGTCAAAAATATCACCAAATATGCAGCAGGAAAGGGGACATCTTAATGTAGTGGAGAAAATCTCCTATCTTCCCAAAACTCTGGTGTGAGCCAGCACTTCTCTCACCTGGCCTGCACGACTCCTCCAGTGTCTCAGGCTCATGGTCTGCACAGTAGAAATGATACTGAAATGGTGCAGTGCTGGAGTGAGGTGCAACATGCCTGAGCACCTGGGAAGCCCTGCTTTGAATACAGTCAATGGTTGCTGAGTCTCAATGATTTTCTCTTTCAGAAATCTTTGACCTGGAAACAAATGAACATGTGCAGAAGGCCATAAGTGACCGACAGATGCCTATAATAGAATACCGGAAGATTGAGATTGACGACTACAGTAAGTGGGACATTTTTCCCTTTGGAAAAAGCAGCTACTCTGAGGTTTTTCAAGCCTGGTGGCTCTCAGATGCTGGGCGCAGACAGCTCTCCATCATGACGTGGCAGACCTGTGCCCCAAGGCTTGCCCCACGCTAAGCTTACTAGTGACAAACAAGAAAAGGTAGAAGGAAGGTTTTATTTCCTGGGAGGCCCCATAAGGTAGCTAAGATCTCAAACGCAATCCTCCTTTATCCACCTCATCATTGAGGGATAATATCTTCCCTCTAGAAGTCCTCTCTCTCTGGGCTGGTTGATATCCTGAACACTTTATCACATCACCTCTAAATGGCCTGAAGTGGAGGCACCTTTGCAACTGGAAACATACGTAACGATGGGTTAGGATAGGTTTGTGTGCTGTGGCAACCTAAGAAATAGCTGTCACTCAGCCTGTCTCTGTGCCCTTCTTTCTGTCGGACTCTTTCTTCCCTGAGTTTTGCTGAACACCAGCTCTCTGGTAGGCAATGCAAACTCCCCAAGTCTGGTAGGAAAGTGACACACAGATCCAGGAGGAGGGCAGAATCCTCACAGCTTCACCCTGATGGCAGCACCGAAGGCTTCCAACTCAAGCCAGCCAGCCTTGGAATCCTAAAGGACCACTAGTTGACCATGGGAAGCATCAAAGATAAAATGCCGTCAAAAGAGACCACTCTTGTTCCCCAGAACTCCATGTTCCTCCAGACTTGTTCACTGGACCCTCTTGTTTGCTGATTGGTTGATATCAAATAACTCAGACTTCCAAACTCAAAGTTGCCTTTGAGTCCTTCACTGACATCTGTAGACTCATTAGCTCTGAGGTTGTGAAAAGGTTTGCCCTCTGGTGTAAACTCACCAACTGGTAGTAACTGCCAGAGCTCTTGTTGGAGAGCAGAGGCTCACCAGGGCTGCATGGAGAAGTCTACCAGGATGGAGCACAATTGCTGAGCTGAAGGCGTGAGGGAGGAACTGCATACCTTGCATGTGCTATGCGTGCACCATCTCTGTAACTCTTTGTCCTTTCCCCTACAATAGGGTGCTGGCTTAGCAGCTTGACCAGTGTGCCCTGGTATCTTTGCAAGCATCCCCTGTGCCCAGCAACTTAGAAAAGACACAGCCACTTCAGACTATACACTGTCAAGAACAGAGACCAAGACAAACAGACTTCAGTAGGATGTGCTGTCAATCTCCTGACTTGGAGCAAAAGAAGATGGCTCTCAAATTCAAAAAAGAGTTTTAGAACACACTGGAGTCCTGTGAGATTTGAAGGTGGCCTGCAGGCAGTGTTAGGTTGGGACAAAGGACGACAGAGTGTACTTCAAAAGAGGTGAATGGGCGTTTAGGCAAGACTGAGCAAAGCTTCTTGTGGGTGAGTTGAGCAGCTGCCCTGGATTCCCACCACAGAGAGCCCCAGGGTGTGACCAGTGAAGCCACTCGCGACAGTCACTCCTTTGCCACTGGACAGAGCACTCAGGTTGCATTACTTAGCCACAGAAATTCACTTACTATTAGAACTTTTCCAAGCATTGCTAGAAAGATGTAAATTTCCCTTGTGATCCTGTAGGTGATCTCTCCACCTCTGAAAGTCAGAAAGGCACAGAAATATAAGTGGCAAGTCCCCTCAACCTAACTTCTTCTAAAAATATACCAAATGTGGCCCCTCTGGGGACAGGCATCATGAGAGAAATGAATAGGGACATAGGGAGAGATCTGCAAGAAAAATTAACTGGGGAAAAAGGACAGAAATGAAGAATCTAACAACCTAATTGGACCAAGAATCTGTCTGTGCTGATGGGACTATCACGCCACCGTGTCTCTGAACCTACCACAATTTTCTCACATTGCTGCTCCTGCCCAGCCTGGGAGACCAAGCCATCCTTCCACAAGATCCCATTCCGAGCACCTTAACCCAACCCTTACTACTCACTTCTGTGCCAATAACATTTGCAAACCCTGGAGTGCATTGTGAGGATGTGTGAAAGTCACTCCCTCTAAAACATGCACAAATATCCTGTTTTCCCACCCTTACCACCTGCTCTCTCTAGCATGGGCTTGTTGGAAAGGTCAACAGAGAGGAATACAAGGAGAGAGGTCGCAGCTGCATGTGCGGGGATTGGCATTGCAAAGCCATCCCTGAGCACCAGGAGAAACCTGGTTCATGTCAGCACTGTGGCCTGTTTCTGTTTTGTTTCTTCCTTTCTCAGTGCAAGAGGCCCAGACTTTCCCTAGAACAGTGAGCAGCCTGCAGGACAGGCTCCCTATAGGATGTTCAGCCAATCAGGCCACACTTCCAGTCTGCCCTTGGGCTTGACAGTGGCAGAGAGCAACCCAGGCCATGCTTTATGGATATTTAAATGATAAAATCCAATGCCTGCCTTTCTGCCAGTCCCTGGGCCATTGATCCAATTTGCAAGCTATTAACATTCCACCCAAATCGGTAATGAGATGCTGTGACCACCCAGCTTAGAGTGTGTCTGTGTAGTTATTGTATGGAAACCCTAGTAATTCCAATTTAATTGCTATGCCTTTGGTAATCTGGGTTGTGGGCAACACCAATAAACAAATTCTAACTTAGGCATGAAGGTTTGTCCTGGAGGAAGGTCGAAGGAGGTGGGTGAGAAAAAACTGATGAAGCAATATTTTGAGTTTAGGTTTTTAACACTGGATTTCATTGCTCCTGAAAACCACATCTGATAACCGAGGCTGCCACAGACACAGTGGGGCTGAAACAATTCCTTCCATATGGCCCCAGCAGTCACACACTAACAGAAACCTGTAGACAGTGAGTTGGGCAAGGCCTCCTAGCTTTTTGCAGGAATCTCCTCCGTGGCTTTCCCATTCTCTCCCAGGTCTCACCCACTACCTCTTTGTCTCTTCCTCTTTCCATCCTTGCTGCTCAAAATATCTGTCGCAGATGTGTGGGCAACATAGCAGCTGGAAGGGAAGGAACACAAGACATGAGACATTCCGTTGCACGTTGCAGAGGTCATGCTTCTTGCATGGATTCTTGCTGCTCACTAGCTCTGGTGCTGGCCTAGTCTTCTCAATGCACTCCCATCTATAAGATTAAATGTAAGCTTCAGATGGAGAAACTAAGCCTTGTTGCAGTTGTGTGACTTGCCCAAGACCACCAACCCTGCAAGCCACAGTCACTGAGATGGAAAGCTAGGCTAGTCTCTTCCTGGGAACTTCAACCATGCCTCCCTTTCATGCCCTTGAACATTCCCAACCCTGCTGATGCAGACACCTCCAGGTCCAAACTGCCCCTAACCTGTTTCTGTGTTCTAACTGTCCTTAGGCTTGCCAATGCAGATCCTGAAACCAGCAACCTTCACAGACACTACCCACTACCCTTTGCTCCTCGTGGTGTAAGTATTTTGGTCTCATTCCTTGTTGGGCTGTTTCCCTTGGGACTTAGGAAGCTATTAGGGAAAGATAGAGATGATGTTGCTCTAACCTAAACACTTAAGAAAAAATAGTGCATCAACGTGTGTTAGATTCTTTCCATGCCTCTTGGAGGTCCCCAGAGGCTGAGAGAGAAAGGGGCATGTGCAGTCTGCTTCAGGACAGTCAGCTACAATGAAAGAACTCAAATGGCAGGGCTCATTCAATAGTGGTTGGGAAAGATTTCAGAAATAGTCACAAAACTAGATGAGAAAGGACCATACTTTACAAGACAGGCTGGCCCTGGTTCTAAGAAGTACATAGGGTGGACATAGATCCTACCAGTATCTTAGATCCAAGCCTCAGTAGCAATGTCTTAGGTATTGGGCAAGCTGACTTCTCGCCAAAATAGCATCTCTAGCTATTTCCCTGAATACTGGACTACATAAGGGGAAACCAAAAGCTATTTCCACTCTCTGTGCTACCTGACAAGCACTGTGGATTATATAATGAAAGCAACTTTCTAAATACTCTGAACATTTCTAAAGGTATAGTCTGATGAGGGTCATTTGAATGCTGGGCATCTACTCCTGGTTGTGCACTCAGGTGAACTACATCAAATGCTAACTGCTACCCCAGGGTGCCCATAAGGGTTCATTTGTGTTCACCCAGCACAGGGAAGCAGGTTAAAGGAAGGTACCACCAACAAGACCCACAGAGCAAGAGAAACTTGAGGCCTCCCCAGATGGTCTGAAAGGAACCAGGCTAAAGCAGAGACCAGTATTGGAGGTATTTTATGTACAAGAGAGTCATTTCCCTTGAGTGTGCGTCGAATAGCCCAGTGGAGCTCTGTTGAAGCCTGTCGACTTGCCCTGTTCCTATCCTGGGGACTTAGTCCCTAAATAGGAAGTAAAAATGCCTATGGTCACTAATCCACCTTTCTTGATTGGAATGACTTAACACGTTACCAACAGCCTTCTACACACTCAAACCACATACACAGATACACACACACATATTCATACCACTGACACACTGCTTCTTATACATATTCACCACTGTCGACAGAAATCATCAATAGTCTAGTTGGAAAGTCAAAGTTTATTCAGAAAGTCACACTGATGACTTAAAGTGGACACAACCAGTCAGTTGTCTGAGCTGGCTACTCTACCAGCCTGAATTTGGTCGTGGGTTTTATATTTGTCTCACACAATGCATGGGGTCAGGTTTAACCAATGCAGACTTAAATGTAGGTATTAATCACACTGAAAGATCTAAGAACATCTGGTAATAGCTAACGGCCTTGATTCTTGATCAAGGAGGTATTTGCACTCATTCCTACGCTGGTGTGGCCTACATTCAAAGAGAAGTAAACAATGAGCTCATGTATCACTCTTCCAACTCTGCCCCTCTGGCCTAAGTCTCCCTGCTTCCTACGGAACAGTGCGTGTGTCCTTGGTCACGGTTAGAAAGGAAAAGCCCCATTACCTGGGCAGCATCTTGGCAGCAGCATGAACAGCCTTTGGGCCAACTTGGTCCTCACAATCACTATTGTACCTTAAACCCACACCTCCGTACCACACACACACGTGCGTGTGCACACACACACACACACACACACACACACACACACACACACATATCAACACCTCTCTCACACTGCCTGCTTCCTCCCTTGCTAAATTAGATCTCAGCCACTTTATCCAAAAGGCCAATAATTTTCAAACCAGCTTTCTTCCTGCCTAACCCAGTTTCTTCAGTAATCTTAAAAGCAATCCCAAAAGGTTTTTCATTGCACAAAATGATTCAAGCTCCTTTTTGAAATAAAAGTGGTAGAGATTGCCTTCAAGGCAAACTGTGGTTGCATGGCTTCAGAAGGGACCCAATGAAGACTAACCCCATATGCCAAGTGGCTGCTATCTTGCTCTCTTGGCTAGCCTGTGAAGCAGTATCTTTTTTGTTTGATTCTTGCTGAGTCCAACACATGGCAGAAAAGAAAATCTGGAACCTCAGGAGTCCAAATACATTGTACGGGTGACCAGCACCTGCTTGAACAAAGAAAGAACATGTACTTCACATAGAATGGTAGTGCCTTAACACATAGCCTCCATGTGTCACATACTCTCTCCCCTTCACCCCCCTGCACCCCTCAGTCCTTGTTAGATAGGCAAGGTGGTGACAGGGGTCCTGGCTGCAACCCATGACCCCTTTCCCAAAAGGACACATTGCCATTCCTTAGAGACAGTGTTGGCCTAGATCCTGGCTCTCTCTCCATCTCATCCTGTCCCCACCAACAGGAAAAAAAAAATTTGTTTATCCTTTACATGTTAGCATGCCAGTAAATATTTAACAACCAGTCTTCTACTGAAAATGGCTCTGTTGATTGCACTAGCCAATGTCTGTAAATGTTCTACTTGGATGACTGCAAACATTGTGTCATCAGTGAGTTGGCTAGAAGCAGTGAGCAGAGTAGAACTCATCAGCTGAGAGCTTTCCTTATCCACTGCCACAAGTGAATATGTACTTTGCTCTCTGATGGGTTCACAGCAGAAAGGCAAGTCTGCTAGCATGGATGAGGCTTCATTCTAACTGATCCAAAAGAAAGACAATTTCTTCAAAAGAGGTGTGTCACTAAAAGGAGTCAGTACATTTCCAGGGAGGACAGGAGTCTCGCAATATTGGGAAAATACTCCATTGTGAGAATTCTGGAGGAGTTTAAGCTCTGCTCACCCAACTGTTGCTTTCTGATTGGAGGTGCCATAGTACTTAGGGTACCTTATAGAAGGACTTGTTTTCCTAATGGTGTGAATATGTGGATGCAGCCTGTCTTATCCACCTTGGGGAAACAGAATCTGCTGACAGGAGTTGAGAACATGGCAGCTAGGACAGAATATAAGATTCCTTTAGGAAAGATCCAGCGTTTTAGGAAAGAACTAGCATTTTTGCTAGACCAGCCACTGTTCACCTTGCATCATATTGAGTCCATGTCATGTCTTTTCCAGCGATGGGACCCCAGGGAGCCAGAGTGTGGTGGAGAAGTTTGAGGTGACCTGGGAAACAGTTCTGGTGAGCAGCCACGGGGCCTTGGTGGTCAAGTGCGATGGCCGAGGCAGTGGCTTCCAAGGAACCAAGCTCCTGCATGAAGTGAGGAGGCGGCTGGGCTCTCTGGAAGAGAAGGACCAAATGGAGGCTGTGAGGTGAGCACCATGCCTGGCTGATGCCAGGGAGACCAGAAAGGCTGAGAGAGGACAATTGCTTTCAGAGCATTGCACATGGGCACATCAGATGCCTCTGATCAAGCCACATTTTGCCGGCAATTTGCTCATACTTACAAAGCTTAGTAGGAAGCCCCAAAGTTAACGTCAAGGGAAACTACTAGTGGTAGTCTCCTAAACACATTCATACTACTTCTCCTGTATCAGAAACAGCATCCTCAATTCTGAAGAGCAACCTGTACTTGCTACCTCATTTCTTCACTTTCCTATCATTGAGTCAGTGAGACCAGTCACCTATTAGAGAGAACAGAAAGAAGCAAAACACCAAGGAACAGGCATTTAAAATTATTAATTGAATGTTACACTGAAAATAAAAGGATGCCAAGAGACTGCGCCTGGCTACAACTGTCTTCCAGACTCCCTGTAGGAATAGAGCTCTCACAATCTAATGTCACAATGTGATTTTGCCACTGAGAGGTGTTGTAAGAACTGTTCAACCAATTCCACAGACTCTGGCACTTAGGCTCCCAGGGAGGACAACGAAAAGCACCTGTGACAGAGAGTCCTCTAATGATAATCATTATATTCACCATAAAGAGAGCTGTGTAATAGTAAGCCTGGGCTTGTGAGGAGGAGAGAAAACAGGTGCCAACTTAGCAGTGTCTAATGACAGAAAGACCCTGAGCGTGACATTTCTGCACTTGTTGTCATGCAGTGTTCTGTTGCAAGTTTAAAATACTTTGCTTTCCTAGCTTTTCAAAGTATTTGCTCTTGCTTTTAAAAATATGGACGGAGTATGGCATACACTTGGTTGATGATTTCCATGAGTGAATGAATGGCTTCTTCTCACATTATTTTCTAAAAATAAAGTATTGACCTAGCCACCTATTCAACCTCTCCCTCCATCTAATCCTGGAGCTCCTGCTCCTCATTTCCATGGGCAGCTGACATGACACAATCATGTAAATGGGCGATTTAGTTACACATGGAACCACACCAGTACTTGGATCACAATTCGTCAGAAGCAAAAAGCCCTACTTAGGGAGCTTTCTGGGAAGAAGTGGCCTATGGCAACCTTGAAAAGTGAATAAGCTTTTTTTTCCCATATAGAAAAAGGGGAGATGCAAATTCCACACAGAGAAAGTATGGTGAACAGAAGGTTAGAATCATGCAGAGACCTAACTTATGCTGGGCACACAGACATGCATGGTGTGGTAGGTCATATAGAGCCAGGTTGAACAGAGAAATAGGGTAGAGTTTGCAGGGCAGGAAGGCAGTGTGACAGGACCAGATGGCGAGATGCACCTCGCATCATCTTAGTGAGTTCCTGCTTGCTTTATACGTAACGGAGGAACACGGAAGGCTTCATTGAGATGACAAGCACATCTTCTCAGAATCAATTCTGAGAGCAGTACAGCACATTTTATAGTTTGCAGTCCAAGCATAAAATGTGCAGGTGGGACCATTTGAGATTTTTTTTTAAGATTTTACTTATTTTTATTAGAAAGTCAGATTTTCAGAGAAAAGGAGGGCAAAAAAGATCTCCCATCCACTGGTTCACTCCCTAGGTGTCCTCAGTGGCTGGAGATGAGCTAATCCAAAACCAGGAGCTTCTTCTGGGTCTCACATGGGTGCAGGGTGCAAAGACTTTAAATACGGAGTTCACTCACTTCACCTTCCTCTTGTACTCCCCTGAGCCCAGTGTCTGAGGCTGCAGGAGAAGAGGCCTGAAACTCTAAGGGACACACATGAAGATCACGAAGCTCTTACATAATAAAACAAGAACCCAACACAAGGGCTGTTCATCCTAAGAATGGGAGTTTCTGAAAATCAAGGCCTATAAATTATTCAGTATTGATCCCCAAGACTTAGCACAGAACCTTATAACAAATCACAGGTTCTCACTAAATAGATGACATGGGTGAAAGAAGGGGAGGGGGCAGAGGCAGAAGAAATAGGAGGAATAAGCAGCCCGGTTGTCTCATTCTCAACTAGTATTCTAAAATATAAATGAAGCTGAAACCGTATCATAAAGGGAATGTGTAAATCATCAATTTTCCAGGACTAATCTGCAGAAGCCCATTATGTTAAACCAGACAATAATATATGGAAGATGCCAAAGTCATCTGAAGTTCCATGACTTGTGAAAGTCATGGAAATGCCTGACTTGTGGAGACTAATACCAGATGCAGCCTTTCCCTGAACTCCTATCCATTTCCTCCAGCATTAATTAACAACAAAGGCACCTGCCATTCTAAACATGAAGGCTGCCCATGTCTGCAGCCTTGTGGGGCGGGAGGGAGGGTCCTTGCTGAGATGGATGGAGTGGGATGAAGCATCCAGGTGGCCCCATACCCCCAGCTTTATATCCTACCAGTTGAGAAGGGCCATTAGAAGTTCTTTAGTTGCCCTATCCAGCTGGCAGAATATGGCAAATGGGGACAAGAAAATAATCAACACAAAATAGAAATGGAAGTTTGGGGGAGTGGGGAAGAGGATAGGCAGGGGATTCTGACAATGGTACATACATGGAAATAAACGTAATTTAGATATCCAGAAAACAACCAGCTACCATGAAGTGAGTGTGCCAGCAGGTGGCAGGATGGCTACCACAAAGTAAAGCCTAGAACCGCTCCCCCCCCCCCCCGCTGCCCGCCCCAAAAAACGCAGTTGTTGTGGTGACAGAAGAGACCAGAGTGGATAGGAATGGATCAGGGACCCAAGCAGTGTCAGGCTGGAAAAATAGGCCAGTTACCTCCAAGCCAGGATCTCAGCAGCTAGCTCAAGGAAAGAGTGATCCTGCAGCCAAAGAGGCACAAGAAAGGGACCTCCTCCCCAGAAATTGAAGACAAAGGGCCCCACACATGGAATGGAAACTCAGCAGCTTGCACCTAAGCCCTATACAACAGACCCACAGCTCCAACTCTGAGGGCCATCCCAGAGCATGGAGTGGCTGAGCATCTCCTGGGTCAAGCAGCAACGGAGATGGCAGGAAGCTCATGGGGGCTGGGTTTCCCAGAATGATCTTCCTGCCTTCAACCAATGTTCCTCTGTCAATAAGTTGTATAACTAAATGATAACAATAAACAGAGTTCCAAAATTCAGGGGGAGTTTCATGCTTAAGATGATTGGAAAGAACAGCAGCAAGCCATTGGAGAAAAAAATACTACCACAACACATTGAACCCTCTTTCTGTTGCTTAACTCTGCAGGACCATGCTGAAAGAACAGTACGTTGATAAAACACGTGTTGCTGTATTTGGGAAGGTGAGTTTGGGTTTTGTCTAAACAGCTCTCTGTTCAAGAATGGGGTACTCACTGTGGCATCACCTGGTCTCATGCTGATGTATTGAAGATGCCCTTGACCTGGCAGTGTGCGAGGAACTATCTCCTTAAGAGCAAGAGATTGGATGCTTATGATTCTGTTACTATGAGCTTCCATTTGATCATCTCATGTGCCATGTTTCCTTTTACATAATCTGGAAAGAAATGAAGATATTTTAGGTTTTGATTTATGTATCTATAAGCTGGCCATAGTCTTAGGATGGCGCCCCAGAAAGGAAGGCAAGCATGTTATCTGTGTTATGTGACAGGCTCTTTAGCAGGAATGGAGGAGGCTGTTGGGGGTTTCATGTACTGTGCTGTCAAATCAGAGAAACATCCATCTGGGGTCCATGTCAGAAGCTTCGGCCACGGTTCAGAGATGTGTGTTTGGCAATTAGGTCCTTAAAAAAACCACCTCCTATTGTGTTGGCATATGGCCTCTACTTCTCCTAAGACAGTTTGGTCCTAAACCCCCTCGGTCTCTAAAAGACAAGAACACAGTTGGGTCCACATACCTCCATCTTTTTTCTCAGAGGATAACTCACAGTGCATGACCTCCCTATGTGGTTCTCCGTGCCACAGCAGGTGAAGATTTGAGGAGGCAGTCATTGAAGCAGCTCTCACTTTATCATCTCCAAACCTCCAACTCCAGGTTTCAATGGGAGCAGTGTGCCTTTGAGACCAGGCCCTGCCCATGGGCTGATCCCAGAAACAGGCATACCGGAGTCATCCCATGCCCACATATGGGAAGCGAGGCAGTCAGCTGCCTCTCTAATTGGCCCAGAGACAAATCAGAGCCAATTAGGAACAGGATTTTGAGTATTAGAATCATCATTGGTTTCCTCCCCACCCTTACCTCACTATGCTATTTCCAACAGACATGTAGCTCAGAAGTAGGACTGGGCCTTGGTTCATTTTATCCATTTTTAATTTGCCTTAAAGTACATGTGTGTCATTCCTGGGACCTTTAGTAATTCACTTCTGAAGCTAGCAGATGCAGGAATCTGCAAGTAGCCAGCTTTCTCAGTGGTTGGCTTAATAGCACTGACAACCAAGTATGCTGTGTGAGAAGGGAGCCCCGTGCACCCCTCAGATTCAAATCATGCACTTCTGATGCTGGAATCAGGGCCAAGGAATGTGTTTGCCACCCTTACTGGCTTTCTTTCCTAGTCTATCTAAATGGGTTTCCATGCCTCTTTCAACAAAACATGTCTATTTTGTGTGTATGTATTTCAAGATTTATTCTATTAACTGGAAAGTCATAGGGCCCAGTGCAATGACTCAGTGATCAAATCCTCACCTTGCAAGCGCCAGGATCCCATATGGGTGCTGGTTTGTGTCCAGACTGCTCCACTTTCAATCCAGCCTCCCTACTTGTGATCTGGGAAAACAGCAGAGGATAACCAAAGTTCTTGGACTTCTGCACTGCATGAGAGACCCAGAAGAAGCTCCTGGCTCCTGGCTTCAGATCAGCTCAGCTCCACTGCTGCAGCTACTTGGGGAGTAAACCAATGGAAGGAAGATCTGTCTCTCCTTCTCTCTGTAAATCTGTTTCCAATAGTAAATGAATAAATCTTTAAAAAAAAGTCATAGTTGGAGAAGGAGTCACATAGAGAGACCTTCCATCCACTGGTTTATTCCCCATACAGTCACAACCATTTGGGCTAAGCTAGAGACAGGAACTTCATCCAGGTGTTCCATGTGAGTGCAGGAGCCCAAACACTTGGGCCTCTTCTGCTGCTTTCCCAGGAGCATTAGCAGAGAGCTGGATTAGAAATGGATCATCCAGAACTTGAACCAGTGCCCATATTGGATTACAGAAAACAATTTAACTCATGATGCCACGTATTTTGTAACATGCATTAGGCAGAGGTATCATGGTCCCATCCTTGCACTGCTCAGAGAATGTGAGCTGGCAATTCTTTCAGTGCAGCTTCTTGGAAGTCTGTAGCTTCATCTGTGTTTTCTCTTGGCCAAAACATATGAATCCAGGGGCAGTAGGCTCTGTCTGCTGCCTTATTGTGCAGTGCAGCTTAGTAAAGGAGTCACAAAGCCTGAAGGAGCCAGGACTGCTCCACATACACGTGAGCCAGAGTCTGCAGGACCCTGAGACTAAAAATTGCCCAGAGGATTTTGCTGGCCCCTTGCTAAAACTCAGGTAGGCCGTACAACCCTGTAGAATAAAGTTTTTAGATAAAGCACGGATGATTTGTTCATTGACAAGTCATTGTTAAACAGCATTCTTTGTAAAAAGATTTTTTGACTGACATGAAGATGTTCCTGCTGTTAAAGAAACACACCTCTGGTCACATTATAACTCTATAGTTGCTAAGTGGTTGATCCTGGAGTGAGTTTGACTTAATATTGGCTTCATATCAGATACATATGTCCCACACACTCACAGCTCCTACCCCAATACATCCATGCTTATATTCACACACGTTTATACGTGTCTACACCCGCATGCATGTGCACAAACTCACATACCCACATATGCTCATACTCATTATACTCACAAGCCTATATATATTCACACGTTTACACAAGCCCTCATACATGCTCATAGACTCACACACACCCCTTATCCAGTTACCCAGCTGCACCCTGGTTCCCTCTGCCCACTTTTGCTCATCAAAGCATCACACTTGTGTCTTCCTCCCTTTGGTCTTGCATTTTATTCATGGTTTTTTTTTTTTTACTTGAAAGTTCGGGTTACAAAAAAAAGAGGAAGTGAGAGAGGAAGAGATTCCATCTGCTAGACTACTCCCCATACGACCAAAACAGCCAGAGCTGAGCCAGTCTGAAGCCAGGGGCTGCTAGCTTTCTTCTGGGACTCCTTTGTGGGTGTGGGGGGTTCAAGGCTTTAGGCCATTCTCCACTACTTCCTTAGGCTTTTTGCAGGGAGCTAGATCATAAATGAAATGGCTGGGATTGGAACCAGCAGCTCTATGGGATGCAGGTTCCACGGGCAGATGGTTAACATAACGCTGGGTCTTTTCACTGGGAATCTACAGCACATATGTGTTACCCACAGGAGGTGGTGGCTGTGACACTTTTCACTAGGAGACTATTCTGAAGTAAGCTCCTTATGCCAACCCCAATAACAGGACAACATGGGAGCATAAATATTCACCCCTGTAGAAGTGTGGGCCCTATGAATGCCCAGTTCTTGCATCGTGGAAAGTCAACATTAAGTCCCGGGCACTGGTTCCCCATTCAAAATCATTGTCTTTACCTGTAGGCAAGGCAGGTGTTCCAATTTGCCTGAGTAAGGATAATGCACCTAGTTGTGAATTTCATAGCTGAATTTCCAGTTCACGTTGCATTTAATCCTTGTCATTTTGCACTGAAGCCCCAAGACAAACAGACTAATATCACGCAATATTGAGTTGGAAAGGCATTTGATTTTCATCTCTTACTATGGCTCTTAAACAATTCGTAAGTTAAAATATTCTTAAAATAGAAATTATTGAAGGCCCTGACCTTGCTGCATCCAAGGTTGGTTTCCTGATGATCTGGAGGGGTTTTTTTTTTAAGACTTGCTTTATTATTTTTATTGGAAAGACAAATTTACAGAGATGAGAGAAAGATGTTCCTTCCACTAGTTCTCTCTCCAAGTGGCCACAAAGGCCGGAGGTGAGCCTCTCTGAAGCCAGAAAGCATGAACTTCTTTTGGGTCTCTGACATAGGTGTGCAGGTTCCCAAGGCTTTGAGCCATTTTCAGTTGCTTTCCCAGACCACAACCAGAGGGCTGGATGGAAAGTGGAGCAGCCAGGATACAAACTGGCATCCATATGGGCTCCCAGTACTTGGAGGTGGAGGATTAGCCAATTGAGCCATTGCATCAGTGCCCCCTTCACACCCTCCGATGAATTGTTGATACTTCCTCCTGCCTCTCTCTGTTCTTCCTCTGGTGATCTTTTCCAGGATTACGGTGGGTACCTGAGCACTTACATCCTCCCAGCAAAGAGTGAAAATCAAGGTCAGACCTTCACCTGTGGCTCTGCTGTTTCTCCAATCACAGACTTCAAACTCTATGGTAAGTGGCCTCACCACCTTAAAGTCTCCCTATCTCAGACTCCCCCAGTTCCTAACAAATCACTCAGAGCTTGTATGGATGATGGGCTAAATCTCCTAAGAAGAGTCTAGGGGAGGAGAGGAGTTAGTCCCAAGTCATATGTTTAGTACAAAGGTGATCAATCCACCAACAGCCTGTGACTATCATTCCCAAAATATGCGACCAGGAGTGAAAATAGAACTCATCACTCAGTTTGCAGTGGTGAGAGTCAGAAAGACTTGAATCAATGGTGAACAGAAAATATTTGCTATGTTGCCTGCCAGGCTGCCTTTCCTCTTTGCTCCCAGAATCTGGCCAAGGGCCCTGCACGGAGTTCTGCAGCTGGGCTGTTTGCAAGGCAGGTATTATGTGAAACTAGTTGGGGCAGTCCCAAGAATCACTATTAACCCCTCAGTCCATATAGCTCAGCTCCGTCCTATTTCCTCCCTGGCCAGCACCTGTCCTTGGAAAGTTTATTTTATGATGGTCTTGAGCCAGAGTTGGGGGTCAGATTGTCAGGATGATTTGCTGTGAGGTTAGAGATGAGACTAGCCCTGGGCATGGAGCCGGCTCTCTGTCCAAGGAGACAGGACTTCATTGTCCAGTGGCTCAAACTCTCTGAATTTTCCCTCTTTCTGTTTATTAACCCCTTTTCTCTGAATGTGAATGTCATCATGACCCCTTTTTTTTTTTTCATGTGCTGAAAGTTCTTGCTTGTGGTTCTGGAAATTTGGATTCAGATCAGGGCAGTCAGGCTCTTAGCCCTGCACAACCTTGCGCTAGGCAGAGCTGCTTCACAAGGCTGTAAAATCAAGTGATGGGGCCTTGTGTGGCTGGTCTGCTGTGGCCTGTCCAACTGCCAACATTAATAGCACATTTGAATTTAGTGTTAGCTTCAACTCCTGTAGCTGTTCCCTGCCATGGTGCCACCTTGCCAGCTGAGCCCTGTACCCATCTCAGTGCCTGTGGACCGCATGGCACAATGCAGGAGCCACTTTGAGTTTAGAAGTTGAATCGCATGTCCAGATGTGCCCAATTCTGCCAATGCGGTCTTATTAGAATGTGGTCCACTTAGAAATACGCAAAAACTCTCCTACTTCAAAATTTTAATCTATTCAAGAGTCATTCTCCCAGGGGAACACTTGGGGCATAGCTCAGACTTTTCCAGTTCAGTGAGACTTTCTTACCTTTTTCATCATACTCTTGCCCATGTGCCGGATTCAAATGCATGCAAATGCTGCCACCTATGTCTGGATTGCATCAGAGCCCAAGATAGCAAGTCCTCCTCCTGTCTTTCCAAGTCATTTAGGAGTCTCCCAACCCTGTGCAGTGCCCCCTCCACCTGCCTTGCCAAACAGGGCAGCCCTGCTTCTGGATTCCTTTGTCAACTGGCAGCAGCCAGGTCTGTGAGCAGAACCTAGACCTGCATTCAAGGTTTCAACTGGACAGGGATGTGACTCAACTTTTGAAACATGTTTGTGTTATTTGAAAAGCAGAGTTGCAGAGAAGTCGGGAGAGACAGAGCACTTCCAGCTGCTTATCCATTCTCCATGTGGCCACATCGGTCAGGGCTGGGCCAAGCTGAACCCAGGAGATTCTTTCATATCTCCCACAAGGATGGCAGGGGCCCAAACACCCAGGTCATTTTCCCCTGCTTTCTCAGGCCATTAGCAGGGAGCTGGATCAGAAATAGAACAGCTAAAACTCAAACTTGTGCCCATTTGGGATGGCTGATGGCAACTTACCCACTCTGCAACACCAGCCCCCAACTAAAATTCATAAAGAATAAACAGACCCTGATGGAAGCATACACCCTTGCCATTCATTCCTCTACCATGAGATGAAGGGCTATACTGTTTATTTAGGATTCAGATTAATTATATTTTCCTTGCTTTGGATGTTATTTTAATACTCAACCACCAAAACTGACACATTTAAATGTTACAACTGCACTATCCAATTGCTTCTGTGAGGACCCAAGGGACAGAGATTTAAGGCCCAGTGTGGTAGCCTCCACTTGCATGTGCCAGGATCTCATTTGGGCCCCAGTCCACGTCCTGGATGCTTCATTTCCCATCCAACTCCCTGCTTGTAGACTTGAAAAACAAGCAGTCAAGGAAGGCCCAAAGCATTGGGACCCTACACCCGCGTGGGAGACCTAGAGGAAGCTCTTGGCTCCTGGCTTCTGATTCGCTCAGCTTTGGCCATTCTGGCCACTGGGGGAAATGAACCAACAGATGGAAGAACTTTCTCTCTCATCTCTGTAAATCCTCCTTTCCAATAAGAATAAATAAATGTGATATATATATATTATATTTGAAGTGCAGAGTTATGGGGCCAGTAGGATGGCTCAACTGGCTAATCTTCTATGTGCAGAATCCAGCATCCCATGTGGGCACAAGTTCATGTCCACTTCCCATCCAGCTCCCCATTTGTGGCCCAGGAAAACAGTGGAGGATGGCCTAAGTCCTTGGGACCCTGCACCCGTGTGGGACACTGGATGAGGCACTAAAAGTGACAGCTTAATGCACTGTGCTGCAAGTTTCATTTGCAAAAACCAGCATTTGTGGGCCTGGCTCAGTAGCCTAGTGGTTAAAGTCCTCACCTTGCATGCACTAGAATCCCATGTGGATGCCAGTTGGTGTCCTGCTTGTGGCCTGGGAAAAGCAGTCAAGGATGGCCTAAAGCCTTGGGAACCTTCACCCACAGTGGAGACCCAGAAGACACTCCTGGCTCCTCACTTCAGATTGGCTCAGCTCTGGCCTTTGAGGCCACTTGGGGAGTGAGCCAGCAGATGGAGGATCTTTCTGTGTCTCCTTCTCTCTGTGGATCTGACTTTCCACTGAAAATAAATCTTTAAAAAAAATTGTTTTGCCACCCTGATGGAAGTGGACCCACTGCTTAGGCCCTGAACCCAGGCCAGGGAATTCCTAGCATCTGGGTCCTTCAGACGAGACATAATCCCCTTCTCTGCTTCTGTCCAGCCTCTGCGTTTTCTGAGCGATATTTGGGCCTCCATGGACTCGACAACAGAGCATATGAGGTATGTTTGGACAAAACTGCCACTTGCAAAAATGGGAAGTTTCAAGACCCCAGTCTTCGCATTCCCAGCTCCTAGCCCTGCACGTTGGCCTGCCTGTAACTTGCTCCGTCATTCTGTGGCCTGGCAGTTCTTCCTCTCCACAGTGCAAGTCAGGCCAGGAATCCTCCAGACCCACCACTGGGAACGTGACCTCTATAGCTTCCTTCTGTTTCCTTAATAGGGCTCCAGAGTAGCAGGGGAGTGTTGAGAAAGTATTTGATGGGGGCAATCTCGCAGGACCACAGAGGGGTCAGTGTTCCTGACTCCCCAAGTACCCAGGGCTGGTTACACTGTGGGAAAGTCAGCTGCTGACTGTGCTGCAGCCAGCTCCTCTGATCCAGTTGCCTCTGATGTCATCAGCCAAGTGCAGACAGGGAGTCTAGAGATCTGTGCCATCTTGAGGCTCGCCCATGTGTAATAGAACTGACTTAGCACCAAATATCACCACTGCCGCCCATGTGTAATAGAACTGACTTAGCACCAAATATCACCACTGCCCCCAGCAGCCCAGAGGGAAAACACAGACCCTCTAAGGCTGCGTATCAGTAGTGATAACAGCTTTCCCTTTCTCGCTTCTCCTCCAACCCTTGTCTCTTACACAAAACGGCTGAGCGGAAGGGAAAGCAGAGACAGCTGAGGTTTGCTGTGCGTTTTACTGCAGTATAAAGCCTCCCACGTCTCCCAGGACTTCTCATAAGATGTTCCCCTTCCCATCAGCAAACCTGCCCACCTGCACTGCAGCCCACTCACCGTCTCCCCTTGTTTCTACAGATGACCAAGGTGGCACACCGAGTGTCGGCACTGGAGGGACAGCAGTTTCTGCTCATTCATGCCACTGCTGATGGTGAGGACCAAGAGCGTCCACTGACCCTGCGTGTCTGTTGAAAGCACGCCCCTTGGTGGTGCTGTGGGTTTTGATCAACACTGTCCTCTTTTCTTTTACAGAAAAAATCCATTTCCAGCACACAGCAGAACTCATTACACAGCTAATTAAGGCAAAGGCTAATTACAGCTTACAGGTACTGCCTGCGCATCTACTTTACCTACCTTATTTTGCACTCAGAGCAAGATGTTCCCTTCCATGGAGAAAAAAAAACATTGGATAATGTTCAAAGCATGCACATCAGGTCTGAAAAATTAACACAGGTTTAACTTTTGCTTCTAATTAGTGATAGCTCAGCACTTAGGCTGTGGTTAAAACCCTCTAGAACTAACTCCTCGGCCACCGCTTCATCCCACCTCAGGCAGTGGGCAAGGCCAGGCTTCGGGTTGTGAATTCTCCTGCCTTGGTGGCGTGGGGTATTGCCGCAGGGTTGGAGCAGGGGGTATTGACAGGTCCTGAGCTTTCCCTCATGGCCAACACTGTGCAAAGTTCAGTGCTGCGCACATGTCCCACACCTTCTATGGCTTAGCCTGTAGTAACAGAACCGTACCCTTCCCAGAAAGCTATCTTCAGCTACAGACATAGCAGCAGCAACCCTAAGCCATTTCTAGTGGTGTACATAGCTGCTTCTAGAAACTTCTTTCATGTTCTTCCTGGTTTAGGGTTCAAACACCTGTGACCTGATGGTTTTTGGGGTGTTTGGTTGGTTGGTTGGTTTTTTGAGGTTCAGAGATGAATGGAAGCGTGCTTTGGCCAGATATACCTTCTGCTTCCACCATTCCCTATCCCACACCCTTATTCTGAACTTTCTCCATAATAAAAAATATGCTAGGCCATAAAACAAGTTTCAAGAAATCAAAAAAATAATTGAAATTGTACCATGTGTCTTTTCTAACCACAACAAAATGAAGTTGGAAATTAACAACATAAGAAACTCTAGGGAAGCATGCAAATTCATGGACATTAAACCATATGTTGAATTAAAAGTGGATCACAGAAGAAATCTAAAGGGAACTCAGGGCCCAGTCCTGTGTATCACATTAAGCTGTCTCCTCTGATGCCAACACCTCATATGAGCATCAGTTTATGTCCTAACTACGCGTCTGACCCAGCTGCCTACCACAGACCTGGGGAAAGCAGCAGCACATGAGCCAAGTGTTTGTACCCCTGCCCTTCACGTGGGACACCTGAATGAAGCTCTTGACTCCAGCTTGGCTGACCACTGGTGGTTGCTGGCACCTAGAGAGTGACCCAGTGGATAGAAAAATGATCTCTTTCAAAATAAAAAGTTCCTAGGAACTAATGAAGGTGGCAACATAATTTATCAAACTTAGGGATACCAAAAAAGTATTGTTAAGAAGAAAGTTTATAGTAAGAAAGGCCTACATAAAGAAATTGGGAAATGTTCTCACTCAACATCTCAAGAACCTATAAAAACCAAGAACAAACCAAACCTAAAATCAGTAGCAAGATGGAAATAGTAAAATTTAGAGAACAAAATTGAAAATTTTTAAAAGTTAACTGGTTTCTTGAAAACATAAAAGAGCTGGTTTTTTGAAGACATAAAACAATAACATTGATAAACTCTTGGCCCAGTTAACCAGAAAAAGCGGAAGATCCAAATTAATAAAATCATAGATTAAAAAAATAATAGATGCCACAAAAAATAAAAATAGCAGGCCCAGCGTGGTGGCCTAGCGGCTAAAGTCCTCACCTTGAACACCCCGGGATCCCATATGGGCGCCAGTTCTAATCCCGGCAGCTCCACTTCCCATCCAGCTCCCTGCTTGTGGCCTGGGAAAGCAGTCGAGGATGGCCCAAAGCCTTGGGACCCTGCACCCATGTGGGATACCCAGAAGAGGTTCCTGGATCCTGGCTTCGGATTGGCATAGCGTCGGCCGTTGTGCTCACTTGGGGGGTGAATAATTGGATGGAAGACCTTCCTCTGTCTCTTCCTCTCTGCACATCTGACTTTCCAATAAATAAATAAATATTTTTAAAAATAAAAATAGTAAGATTTACTATAAACAGTTATTTTCATAAACTTGATGAATCTAGAGAAAAGGCTTATATATAACTTACCAAAATTGACGTACAAAGACCTAGAAAACCTAAACAGGCCAAATATCAAGGTGGAAATTGAATCAGTGATAAAGATTCCCCAAGAAAGCAAAACTCAGAACAGGATGACTTTGCTATTAAATACTACCGAAATTTTAAAGAATTAATCCCGATTCTTCTTATACTGTTCTAAACAATTGAAAAGGAGGGCTCAACTGAATTTGAACTATAATACTGCAACAAGGTGGAGGAATCCACCATGGGGGGAGGTTTGGGGAGGAATGGGGGGAATCCCAGAGCCTATAAAACTGTGTCACATAATGCAATGTAACTAATTTATATAAAGTGAATTAAAAAAACCCTCATTGCATATTGACGTAAATTTAAGAATCAAATTTCCAAATGTAGAACATATGGATTTGAATTTTTAATTGTTAAAGACAGTAATTCAATAAAAATGTGTTCTTCAAAAAAAAAAAAAAGAGGGAATATTCCCAAACTTCTTCTGTGAGGCTGACATAACTTTAATTCAGAAACCAGAGAAAGATTCAATAACAAAAGAGAACAAAGATGCAAAAAAATCCTCATTGAAATACTAGCTAATGGAATTCAGCACACATGAGACTCATCATTGACCTGGACCAAAAAGGATCCAATCCAGACATGGCTCAACATATGCAAATCGATAGACCTGACACCTCTCATTAACCAACAGAAGAATAAAAACTATAGAAGTAGCTCGGTGGATTTAGAGAAAGCATTTAATAGAACACAACACCCCTTCATGATAAAAAAAAAAACCTTAAGCAATTCGGATATGGAAGGAACACATGTCAACACAATGAATACAATATATGACAAACCTACATCCAGCATCACACTGAATGGAGAAAACATGAAGCTTTTCCAACAGCATCCAGAGCCCCAAACAAGGATGCCCACTCTCACCATTACTATTCAACATCGTCTGGAAAGTTTAGCAAAGACGGTAGGCAAGAAAAAGAAATTCAAGGGATATAAATTGGAAAGGAAGAAGTTAAATTCACTCTGCTTGTGGATGATATAATCCTATATAAGAGAACCGAAATATTCTGCTAAGAAATTATTAATGTGCACAGGGGAGGGCAGTGCAGAGGGAGGATCTGGGGAAAGGAGAAAGGGATTTCGGAAAAGGGGAAAAGAAATCCCGGAATCAATGAAACTGTATCATAAAATAATTTCAAAAAAATGTCCATGCCACTCAAAAATATTACAGATTTAATGCAATTAGAATTGACCTACCAAAGGCATTCTTGGACCTAGAAAAAATGATCTGAAGTTCATGTGCAACACAAATGATCCCAAATTGCTAAAGTAATCTTTATCAATAAAAGCAGAACTGAAGGTCTCATACATCAGGCTTCGCAGCATACTGCAGGTGATTACAATCAAAACCACCTGAACCGGCACAAAAATAGACGTATGGGACACGTTAGAAACCCCCAAAATTAATCTGTATAATATCACCAATATTTGACAAAGCATCCTCCGGAGTGAAAGTCTCTTCAACAAATGGGAAAATTGGTTCTCTGCCTATAAAATGCCATCTAACACCTTACACAAAAGGTAGACTCAAAATAGATCAAGCATCTTAAACCTGTGACCTGGAAGAGTAAACTTATTACTGGCAAGTGTAAGAGAAATGAGTCACAACCCTGGCTGAGGCAGACTTTTGACAGAGGACCCCAGAAGCATAGGAAATAAAAGCAAAAGTTGACTAATAGGACTGTCAAGCTAAAAAACTTACCCACAGAAAAAGAAACATCTAGCAGAGTGAAGAGGCACCAAACAGAATGGAAGAACTGATTTACAAACTATGTTCAGTTAACTATCTTAACTGTATACAGTTAAGATATATATATACAGGGCCCGGCGTGGTGGCCTAGTGGCTAAAGTCCTCGCCTTGAACGTGCCCGGGATCCCATATGGGCACCGGTTCTAATCCCAGCAGCTCCACTTCCCATCCGGCTCCCTGCTTGTGGCCTGGGAAAGCAGTCGAGGACGGCCCAAAGCGTTGGGACCCTGCACCTGCATGGGAGACCTGGAGGAAGTTCCTGGCTCCTGGCTTTGGATTGGCACAGCACCAACCATTGTGCTCACTTGGGGAGTGAATCATTGGATGGAAGATCTTCCTCTTAGTCTTTCCTCCTTTCTATATATCTGACTTTGTAATAGAAATATGTCTTTTAAAAAAAAGAAATATATATACATATATACAGTTAATAAATGCACAAAGAACATGAACAGGAATTTTTCAGCTTGGCCAACAGACATATAAAGTGCTAAGGATCATCAGCCGTCAGGGAATTGCAAATAAAAACCATAATGAGGTTTTAGCTCACCCAAGTTCGAATGGTTATCATATAGAAATCAGAAAGCAACTAATGGTGAAGATGTGGAGGAAAAAAATCCCTAAGCCATTGTTGATGGGAATGTAAGCTAGTACAATCATTATGGAAGACAACATGGAGATTCCACTTATAAAAATCTGAAAATAGTCCTACCACAGGACCCCGCCATTCCACTCCTGGCAGTTTGCCCAAGCAAAATGAAATCAACATGTGACAGGGTTATCTGTCCCCATGTTTATACCAACCCAGTTTACATCACCTGGTGATTGGATAAAGAAAATGTGGTATATATCCTTAATGAAATAGTACTCAGCCATAAAAAATAATGAAACCCTGTCTTTTGCAACAAAATGGAGGCAGCATGAGACCATTGTACTTAATGAAATAAGCCAGACCATAATATCCTATGTTTTCCGATTTGTGGTACTGTACCAATAAATATAGTGTTAGTGAAATTTACATTTTGAGGTTTGATTATTGCTTATGCCTTTGCCTAATGTGGAATTTTGGTCTTACTTTCTGCCTGTTGAATTACTTATGGAAGATGAATATGTTATAACAAATTAAAGAAACAAGGAAGGAGAGTATGAAGCATTGTGTGTTTAAATTGTATGTAATACATGAAATATGTTCTCCTTAGGCAAGTTTTCTAAAAGCAGTTTTATATCATAAAAAGAGTGTGGACTTCCTAGTGAGATTTGACTTTGGGTCGTTGCACATACAGAAGCACCTGTAACAAAAGCAGCAGAGGGTCTGTGTCAGGGTACAGCGTGTTCAGTGGCCATCTGTGGCGTGCCAGCGTCCTGTTTAGGCTCTACTTTGTTTCCTGGCAGTTCCATTCTGGAACTGTCTGTGCTGATGCACCTGGGGGAAAAAAAAAACAGAAGATGACCTAAGGACTTGGGTCTTACAGCCACATGGGAGACCTACATGAAGCTCCTAGCTTTGGCGTGGCCCTTGCCATTGCGACCACCTAGGGAGTGAGTCAGTAGGTGGAACATTTCTCTCCATGCCAATCCTTCAAATAAATAGAAATAGTAAGAAATACACAGTCACTTTGGGGAACAGGTGTTGTCACTTACGTCAGCGATGGCATCGCTGACAGAGTGGGAACCAGTCTGTGTTCTCTGTTTATTGCACTGGTTTTCACGGATTTCCCACTGCATATGTCAGGGGCAAGGAGCCAGGAAAGCATAGAGGAAATACTGGCTGATGTCTCTGATGTTTCATTTCTTTGCACAGCAGGGGGAGAACCCAGGCAAAGCTTTCAGGAGGAAAGCACTTTGGGTGGGACTGAAGTAATTAGGAGATTCATCTTATCAGGCCTGCACAGTCCTGAGTGTCACTAAGCTCTTTATCTCACGTTTCATTGAAAGGGTAGACCAGGAGTAACTTCTCCATGTCTCTTGCAGATATACCCAGATGAAAGCCATTACTTTCACAGCACATTCCTCAAGCAGCATCTATACCGGTCCATTATCAACTTCTTCGTGGAATGCTTCAGGATTCAGGACAAGCTACCCACTGTCACAACAAAAGAAGATGAAGAGGAGGACTAATTACAAGTCAGCCGGAAGCACAGATGTGGTTCTTTCTACAACTATATGCAACTGAGGAATGTCCCCGCCCTGTCTCTTCCCTTCAAGGGTGGGGTGGGGACAGAGGTGTTCATGTCCCATAGCATGCGTGTCTCAGATAAGGAAGGCGGCTTTGCTTGGGAAACAAGCTCCTTCCCAGGTGGAGATGCGCCATGGTTCGTGATGGCCTCCACACTGCCTGGAACATTCCACATCAGCAGCATTGCCTCCTCCTGGCCATACTGCAGCTGGCACATCCCATAGCCCCTTCCCCAAGGAACAAAGAAAGGACAGATGGCAGCGAAGTCCCACTTTGGGCCCACATGGAACTGGCCCTTAAATTCAAGCTATCAAACAGTAGCATTAAGACCCACCCTCTACATTAGAGTACTGTGTTCACGTCTTCAGCATTACATCCTGTCTGATATAACTGTGCCAAGGAAACAATCATAGCACAATTAACAGTGTGTGTCCCTAAATTGGCTCGCTCCTTTCTATACTTAGGAGATTTGACCTTGTAAGGGGCTGCCCCAAGAAGACAGACCCTTTTCTGTACAAAGTATCATCATAACAACACTAACAGTTAACCTTATAAATTCATTCTTATTTCTGGGTTTTTTTTTTTTAACTTGACATTCCATTGTCTCTGGTCATGGGGTTTGGGGTTTTTGGTGGCTTGTTTATTTGTTTGCAGGTTGGTGGGTTTTGTTTTGATTTGGTTTGCTTTCTTTTCTTCAATGAACTTTGCACCTGTTTGGATAAAGGAATAGACCAGAAATAACTATTGTTTCCCCAAGGTTGCCTTCAGGCTTTGTGGAGACCTTACACACACTTAAGAAGGAGACACTCAATAGGATTCAGGAAAAGAAAACATAATCAGAGCTCTCTACATTGGGATTTGGCTGTATATTTCCCATAGTCTACTTACGCGTATTCTTTAGTCTTTTCAGGTGACACTTTTTTTTAAAAGCGTGGATTCCACCCAGCCCCCTCCAGGTCTGCTGTGTATGCTCAGGTCACTGGTGTCCTGAAGGAAAGTAAGGGACCATGTCTGTCTCCAGTTGTGGGGATGGCTTATTTACCCTCCTGCCACTAGCAACAAGGCTTGTGTTCTTCTGCGCTAGCTTTGTGAGATACACGCTGACCAAATGTACAGCCAGTGTTCCCAGTGTATATTTCATTTTGTTGTATATAAAGAAAGGAATGTGTGTCCAGCATTTGTGCAGTTGCCCGCCACCTCCCACAGCACTAACCTTGTGTTGAGCTTGCATGCGGACACTCTTTGGCTGATCTGGACTCTCTAGAAGTGCTAGTTTGAACATATATCAATTACTGTCATTTCCTTTTGAGCTTGTTGACAACCTGAATGTCGGTACTGGTTTCTCCAGCTCCTGTCCTGCTGGGAGTGTCCCTCACATCCTGTCTGCAGAGGAAATGTGTCCATGTTGCTTTTTTTGGTGTTTTGGGGGTTTTTGGTTTCATCCATTTGAGCTTTGAATGTCAGTTGTACTAGGGTTGGTTGGAAGATCTCCATTCTAGGACATTAAAGGGGATGCCTCACTATTTGCAAAAAGAATCAACGCACCGACAAGCACGACCGACCTGAATGCTACCTGATCATGCTTTTGCTGTTTCAACGGGCTTGACTTACTACAGAGCCAATTAGTTCAGAAAGGGGAAGCCAGCTCTGGGCACAAGATCTGGTCAAAGGGAAGTGGGATGTGGCATGGTAGCATTTGTTCATCCATGGAATAAAACATTATTTTACCACTTGGATTGTTCTTTTCTTGTTTCTCCATCTAGTTTACCTTAGAAAGTGTACAGGTTTCCCTAAGTTTTTGAAATGCTTCTTGTACCTCACCAAGACAGATGCATTATACCATAAGAACCTACGGGAGGTTAAAAGGAAAAAAAAAATACATCCAGCAGCAATGTCAGTAATTAAAAATGATAGACCCAACCAAATACATTCAAGTTACGTTCGAGTTCCAAATCAGAGAAAACACAACCGAGTTGTGTCTTGAACATTTTAGGGAGGAGACAGAAATGTTCCCTAAAATTGATGATAAATCAATCCTCAGTTGAGGCCATAGCATTGTCCACTATAATGCTTTGGAAGCACAGCCTTATCAGTTAGTAATGCATCTATTCATTTTGTTATAAGTCTGCTGTAAACACAGCCCAGCCTGAAAGCAAAAGGATTGATGAAACAAATGCTGCCAAATCACTGAGCAGCCGCTGACGTGGAGACTTCAGCTCAGCCCAAATACCCCAGCCAAATTAGACGACTCTGGTCACTCCTCATGAAAAGCAAAATTCCATTTGTAAACCAGAAGCTGCAAATACCATAGGAGTTTAATCCCAATATTGTCACCATGAGCTACCACGGCCTTATCCAAGGAAGCTAGTTCCTCAACTCACCTTACCATTACTGAATCCATTCCTCCTGGACAGGGTTTGATTTGTGGACAGGATTTGATGGCTTACACAAGAACACAAATACTTCTGAAAAACACTGGGTGTAAGAGGACATGATGGTCAGCATATATCCAGAGAAGGAGCTCGATCACAAGGATAACATGGGGGATACACAGTGCCCTGTGGTAGGACATCTAGGATGGCCTAGGAAAGGCACCTGTGTGATCTGCAGGTGCAGGACCCCCCTGCAGCTGCAGGACCCCCTCTGGCTTGCAATCTCCCCAGGCATTCCCTGTGAGTTCAGCTCAGACATGACTGGCACAATGACATGTTTTCTTAATTTCAGGTTTAAACAATCTAAAATGCTTTGAAATCTCAACCAGGAGGCACTAGAATCCATGAGGCTCCTTTGAGTTCCCAGTTTAATGGTCCCAGCCCTTTATGGATTGTCCCAGGACATGAGCACCCACATATGCTGGGGTTCCTCTATCTCCCTAGAACAGAAAACACACCCCTTCTTCTGCGTAACAGTCCCAAAAGCACTGATTGTATTAAGGAACAGATTGCCTGCAGGAAGCTTCCATTAAAAACTCCATTTGGAGTGAACCTGGGCATTCCTTCACGTACTTGGTCCTAGGTGAGGTGAGGAGAACAGAAGGGAGAGCCCCAGATCAGCATGCAGGTCTGGTGTGCTGGTGGACCAGGCATGGAAACTTAAGTGGGCCTGGATATTGGGTGTGTAAAGGGGTAAGGCACAAAGCCAGCACATGTGCCAGAAGCTTGGGACCCTGGTGGGTAGCAGAGCACTGGACCTGCACATCATCCACTGGGCTTGCAAAGGCTGGGCTGGAGAACCCATGCACTCTTGGGAACAAAGATTATGGACTGACTAACAAAGGGAGCAAGGTGATATAGGGTCAGGTCGGGAGGATTGTCCTGGGAGTATCTTTCAAGTAAAGAATGACTCCTGAGGGACTCACAAATGACAAGGCCCCTGTACTTGCAGGTAAGTGAAGGGACTGGTTCCTGGTGATTTGGAGGAGAGAGACTGGGACACCTTTATTGATCAGACCAATGCCCCAGCTCACATGAGAGACCTGAGCTGGGCTTGTTACCATGGAACACTGCTGACCAACACATGCCAGCTCACACGCAAACTAGGGCTTGGGGCCTGTCTGACGAGGCTACATCTCAGTACCTCACAGAAAGTGTCACATCAGGGGATGGGTCACATTAGGCTGGACCATGACACCAATCAGCACACAAGAGAACCATGTCCAGGGGTGGATTCTGTGGGGGATATGCGGGCTCAACCCTATGGAATTACAAGTCCTGCTGGCTAACAGCTTACACTGTTAACAGTTGGGTTGGTGATGAACTGAGCTAGGCATGACCTTGGAACTCACCGACACTCAGAGGTACTGGGGTTGGGAACAAGTGCAGCAGGTCCAGGCTGCAGCATCATATGAGCATACTAAAACGGGGCACGAGGCAGGCTGGGCTGCAACATCTACCAGCTCATACAAAGACCAAGATGGATGGGGCAGGTCATGCAAGGTAAGGGCCTAGCACCCAATGGCAAGTGTGAGATCTGGGTCTAGAAGTAAATTGAGAGGGGGAACTTGGGAAACTCACCTAATGGGTCACAGCTGCCACTGGTGATCACATGGTCCAGGTCTTGGTGTTGGGTAGGCTGGGCAGGGTAGCTCCATCCATTTTCAATTGTGCAGATTGGTTTTGGAAGGGGGTGGACTGGGCAAGGTCATGTAAACCTTAGTTCATTGGCAAGTACAGAAACCAGGCTGGAGTGCAGATAATGCCTGGCTAGGCTATCACACCTACTGGTGTGAGCCAGGAAGAGGAGCAAACTGAGCAGGACCAGGTTGCAGCACCTAACAATGAAAGTCGCAACTGGGGGCTGGCCAGGTCAGGCTACAGCATCCAAAGACAAAGGCTAAGTCAGGTAAGGGGCTATGCCAAGCTGGGTCAGGACAACCACTGCCATGGTACTAGATTTGTGGCTGGGAATGGACCTGGTTGGTGGGCTAAAGGGATGCCCTAGCTGGGTTGTGGGTCCCACTGATAAGCGCGGGGGCCAGAGTTAGGGACTGCAGTCTAGTCTGGACATGGCTGAAGTGTCCCTTGGCCCCAAAATGGACTGGGTCTGGGGTGTACCAGACTGGCCTAGATTCTGGCACTAACTGGTGCTCATGAGAACCAGGGTGGATGGAGGACAGGCTGGGTTAGACTCTGCCTTGCCGAGCCAGATGTGAGCTGTGTATGGGTGTGGACCAGGCTTGGCTGGGCTGAAACATCCAGCAGTAAGAATTGGAATGGGTAAAGGCCAGTTATAAAAGGCCACTGTTCCTGCTAGGACAAGAGATGGACTAAGTAGGACTGGCCAATGGACCACTGGTGTGCACGATCTGGCATTAGGAGAAGTTCTGATGGAGAAGCTTGGGGAATTCCTCTGTTGGGACACAGTCCCTGCAGGTGAGCACAAGAACCAAGAAAGAGAGCAGCCCAGACCAGGCCAGGTTACAGTCCCCACCAGCATACTTTTGCTCAGGTCTGGGGTGAACCAGGCTGGACCAGTTCATATTACCCACTGGAAAAATCCTAGGACCAGAATGGTGTGTGGGTCATGCCAGGTCAGGCCATATACCAGCCAGTTCACATTAGAGCTGGAACTAGGGGCTGGCTGGCTGGCTAGGCTGTAAGCTCCACCACTGTGAGCTGGAACTGGGGGTGGGCCAGGCCAGGCCAGGCTACAGTACCCACTGACAAATACCGAGGTGAGCTGGGCCATTCCAGACTGGGCCACAGCATCAAACCAGCACATATGAGACCTGGGGGAGAGGGGCGAACCCAGTAGTGGGGTTGCAGGGGTCTCCTCTGCTAGACCATTACTCCCACTGGTGAGCATGAGAGCTGGGATTGAGAGCAGACCAAGCCAGGCAGGGCTGCAACACCCATTGGCCTGCATGTAAACTAGATTGGGGAAAAGCCAGGCTGGGCAGACAGTACCTACTGGTACATGCATAAGCCAGAGTGGGTGTGGGTTGGTTGGGCTTTGCAGCAGCATCAGCAGGCAGATGTTGGCATGGAGGCAAAACTCTGTTGAGCTAAAACATAGGACCACCTGGAGAATGCAAGATCTGAGAGTGAAAGTGGGCCACTCTGATGGGCTGCAAGTCCCATTGGAAAACATGGAAACCAGGACTAGGGTCAGGCATGGCTAGACAAAAAGTGGCACCAGCCAGCACCAATGTGAAATGGATAGTGGGACCGGTTGGGTTGAACCAGGCCTTGATGCCCAATGACATGTAGGAGAGCAGAATGAGATGTGGGACAGACTGGACCAGTCTGTTGTTCATGCTGGCAAGCACAGGAACCAGGGTGGGGGTAGGGGGAAAGCCAAGTGAGGGTTATTGGGGGAATCGCTCTAACTAGGCTGCAGCTTCCACTGGTTTACGTGAGGGCCGAGTAGGTGATGGGCAGGATCGGGATGGCCAGTAACACCAATTAGTTTGTGTAGAAGACAGGGCTGGAGACAGAACTGATTTAGCAATTGCAACTAACTGTGCACATAGGCTGATTTGGGCAAAGGACTCTGCCAGACCCTGTGTTGGCAATGCACACACAGAATTAGGTCTGGGATCACCTCAAATGAGGTTTCTTTGGAAATCCTCCCCAATTGAACTGCTGGACTCAGAACTCCAGCCATGGAGAAAATTGCAGGTTCCACAGTCTGACTGTGGAATGCATCAGAGCTGGGCTTCCTCCAAGGCTTAGAGCAGTGGACAGCATATCCAGATACACATGAAGATGGCAGTACACTGGAGACTGCAGAGGACACCTGATACCATAACACAGGATGGAGGACAGAACAAATCAATCAACTACCCCAGCCAAGCATTGGCAGTGAACACCTGGGCAATCGAACACCCTATGGTGGACTGTATCAGCCAGTGGATTCTGGAAAGATTTCATCATGATTGGAGTGGCAAGATCAACAGCAATACAGAACTGTTGAACTATCAAATTATCTGAGCAGGACCCTCGGAAGGTCAGGAGGCTGGGTGGGGCATCTTCCCTTATCTCTCCCCTCCCCCAATTTCAAGAAGGAAAAAGGGAATGTCAAAAAATTTTTTTTAATTTTTTAATTATACATTTTAATTGTTATTATACATTACTGTCTGTGTTTGCTAGTTGCAAAATGCTATACTTTTAACTGACTCCTAAAGTTTTTGTAACAGAAAAATTATCTAAAGAACAGATGTAATTGATGTATGTTCGCCAAGTCATCTTGGTAAAATCGTTATCATAATCCACTTTGCATTCCCCTCC